AACCTGCAGGGGCCATCCTCCATAGTAGCGTCCTCGTGGCTCAAACTGGTGAAACCATTGTTATTGAGGCAATTCCTCCAAATCCAGTGGAGACGTTTGAGGTCCTGCTGAAGCCACCAACTCCCCCAGAGACTACTATCTTTTGCACCTGGTACCGTCAGTCAACGGGGGCCGATCCGCTGCTAGTGGTTCAAAGTGTAAACAAGACCGGACCAGGATATACCGGGAGAGAAACGATCTACCCCGACTGCTCCCTTCACATTAAGGAGCTACAATTAAATGACACTGCAAACTACTTGCTAACCATAGCAGGAGCTACAATTTCTAATGGGAATATAAGATTAGAAGTCACAAGTAAGACTTTTTTAAAAAAAAATTGGGATAGGCTGGCCAGAATTCAGAGTCCCCATACCCTCACGGGTGTGAAGGCACCGACTCAAGTTACTGAGCTGAAAATGAGGATTTCTGCTCTAGCCGTGCATACATCTCCATCCATAAAGTCCTCCATGAATGAGTGCCTCCCTACCTTATGATTTTTCCGGAAGGTTCTGAAGACATGGTTTCTGTCAGCGGGCTGGGGGACCCCGAGTTTGGAGAGCCAATCAAGTGGCTTACATGATTATGGTTGTGGTTGCCCTAGGGTGGGGTGTGTGGCGGTCTACGACAACTCACCGTAGCCAACTGGCCACGGGACAAGAGTTACATTAATAGTGAAGAAATAATGGAATAGAATCATTAGAGGAAGGATGCCAACATGGAAAGTGAGTGACCAAAATTAAAATAGTTTTTTTAAAATAATTTTAAATAAATAAATTGAATTGGTGGATTGTCCTACCTACAGCGAATTGTCCCGTGGTCAGTTGGCTGTGCCAAGTTGACTGTGGCGAGCTGTCCCATCTCGTGGGGTGGGGTGTTTGTGGTGGTTGATTTCTAATGCTGTGCACTGCCTGGAGTCACCTTGTGTGAGTTGGGTGGTTCTATGAATCTAAAGGAAGAAAAAGAAAGAAAGAAAGAAAGAAAGAAAGAAAGAAAGAAAGAAAGAAAGAAAGAAAGAAAGAAAGAAGGAAGGAAGGAAGGAAGGAAGGAAGGAAGGAAGGAAGGAAGGAAGGAAGGAAAG